CGATCTGGGTAGATGGTGAATCTTAAAGATGCGTTCAGCGTGCAGGTGGATGCTCACATCGACGTGGTTGAGCGTGATAGGGCACTTCACTACCATCCTGCTGTCTGCGTAGTCCTTCTGTCGCCACTGCGATGTCCATGGCTCTACGGCCTGAGCGAAGGCACAGGTGAAACAGTGTACCATGAACGGGACCCCTATGAGGCTTCCCTCTGTGGTGGTAATTGGACTTGCGCCTGCTGGATGCGTTGCAGTGCAAGGCGTAGGTCACGAGCACGTGCACGGTCCTCTGCTGCCTTCTCCATGTGGACCCAGCCCACCGACGGGAGCGCGTTGGTCACACCCTCGAAGCGATCCACAAAATTGACTTGTACTTGCCGTAGGTTGCAAGCCGTCACCATGGATGCCAAGATCGCCGTCTCATGTCGTCGCCCCCTCGCGAACCCATGATGCTCTAGTGGTAGTGGTTCTGGTCGCCGCTCTCAAATGCAACTAGCGACGAAACTTCTGCCACGCTCACGTGGACTTGCACTAGTCGGCGCCCACTAGGTCCAGGTCGCTCATTTTTTTGCCGCATAGCATTATCTAACATGCCAGTTGAGCGGAGTGATCTGATGAAGCCGAAGTTTATAGAAGGCCATGTGGACACACCTCGATGCAGTCATTGTCGGTATCTTGCACGGTAAAGCCAGCCTCCTTGTTAGTTAGGTCTCGCTGTGGGTGAAGCGTCATCCAGTAGAGCTCCGCAGGTGGAGACGAGGCAGGGCACGCCTTCCGCTTTTGAGTCCCCCAGAAGTGCCATTTCTGACGCTTATGTCCCTCTTGCTTTCCAAGAACGCACCCGTAGCGTGATCGTCGTCGATCTGAGGTAGTTGGCCAGGTTCTTCGGTCAAACAACCAAGGACATGGTATACGAGATAGTTCGCCAGGCAATTCTTCGCATTGGAGCTCGCCCTGGTCTGGTGGAGCTACCGGAATCTCAATGGCCCCCCCTCCACCTCATTCTCGTCCGTGTTTTTTTGAGCGCTTGCATCCACTCGTTCTTCGTCGGATTCGCCAGTGGCAATGCTCGAAGTTCATGCGTTTTACTCCCAGTTCTCGTGATCCCTAGCCTGGTCGTTGCCCAATACGCTTGATAAGAACGTCTTGCCTCCGAATGTTCTCGGATATCCTCAGACATTGCCTCTCTAGTCTGCGGCTGTATCCATTTGCGAACCCTACCGCGCGTTCGCGAAAAAGTTATGAGCTGAACTTCAACTTGCTGTTTGGTGGCTTCTGTAGCCCAAGCCGCCTCGCGGAGATCTCGCCTTTGCCGCAGCAGAGCGAGCCTGTGTTGTCGTAGTTGGCGGCGCTCATCATTCACAAAGTGTGGTTCCAGAAACAATCTAAAGCCGCGTTGACCAGAGTCTCTTCCAAGTGCCCCAAGGGTGCGTCAGGAGCATAGTACAACCCCGACGTACCCACTGCTCCATCTCATCACGAACAATGCCACTCATCCGTGTTAAGTGCTCGTGCTTATTGCCGCCGTGTCTAAACGCGTGCACCAGTGCATTCCGGTTCCACTTCTATCTGGTTTGCTCTGCAGATTGGTCGTCGCATGTGGCCAATTTGTCGTACATGATGCGGGCGAAAAAGTGGCACTTGGTCGCGCAGCAATCGGCTTGGAATCGCCTGCAGCCGCCTGCCTAGCCTAAGAAGAGGAGCAGAGCCGTCGCACGCGTCCTTCCACGCCACAGGCCCGAACACATAGTCTGTCTTCGGCGTTGTTTTGTCCGGTGTTGCCAAAACATGTGGGATCGCTGGAGCCGTTGAACACCGACATGTGACGCCTCACTGACACTTCTCGCGTTCGCTCGCCTGCCCCATTGAACTCGGTGGCATGCCGCTCGCTGATGACGCTTTCCCCACGCAGCCCTGCACTCTCTGCGCGCTGATACCGATGCCGTCCTTGAGGTCTACGACGGCGAGCGGCAAGGAGGATCGCGGCGTCTGCAAAAGCTCACGATCAAGCCACTGTGCCGAGCGCGCGCAAGTCTCCCCGTAGTGGGCGCCTGCGTTCGCCTTCTTCGGCCTGGGCGGAAAATACACATCCACAGCCGTGATGTCCATCAATCCATTTTTGCATCTCGCCGCCAACGCTTTGGCTTGCAACGGTGAAGGTGTCTGAAAACTTGCCGAAGATGATCCTTGTGGAAGGGATACCCCATATGAGTCTGCACCCCCCATCTGAGTTTGAACCCACCCGATTTGTTCGTACAAACACCCTGTCCCCATCCTGAATCAATGATCAAGCGCCTACGTGCATCTGGATGAGAACCATGCGTGTAGCCCAGAGGGGGCCTTGGACTGCGTATCGACGAGGGCGAAGACGTCGAAGTTGCGAATCTCATCCGCGATGTCCTGCGCTTCGCCCCCGAGCGCCGACAGCGGGTTGAAGACCCCGATGAGCAATGGCAGCGTCCGCGTGGACCTACCAGCGCGAGGTCGCGCCGCCTGGGCCGCAGCCGCCACGGCCCGCTCCGCTTCGCAGTGCCTGGCGGTGTGGGACGCTGGGGCCCCTCTCCATCGACCCTGCCTCCTGCACTCGAGGGGGGGTGAGGAGGAAGAGGAGGAGGAGGAGGAGGAGGAGGAGGAGGAGGAGGAGGAGGAGGAGGAGGAGGAGTAGGAGGAGGGGGGTTGGACAAGCTAGGTGCGCTCGCGTCATATCTGGCATCCTACCCCTCCCTCCCATCCCTTACCATGGCGCAGATCCCCTCTCTACTTTGCACAGTCGGATGTCAAGCAGGGCGATGATCCCGAAAGGGTACGCGATGCATTGTAGAGCACGGCGTGGCATGGCGTAGAAGAGCACCGCGAAGCGTAGTATCAACCTAGCATTGCATTGCATGCCGTGGCATGGCACGGGAAATGACGCCAGCGCTGCAGCGGGAGCACGAGTCGAAACGAGCAGAAGCGCGGAAATGAGGCCAGCGCTGCAGCGGGAGCACGATTCGGAACGAGCGGAAGCACGCAGGAATCGGCCCGGGAAGCACAGAAATGAGGCCAGCGCTGCAGCGAGAGCACGATTCGGAACGAGCGGGGCCCGAAAATGAGGCCGGCGCCTCAGCGAGAGCAGCATTTGGGAACAAAAATGCAGGCGAAAACCTAACTCCGGGGAAGGCTTCCCGGGCGCCGGAAGAAGAAATTCAGCATTTCCAAAAGAAAAATGTGTATTAGAATCGCCTTTTTTCGGCGCCGCCTCGGAACTCGATTTTCTGGCGCCGGCCAGAACCGGCTCCGGACCCGGCCCGGGCGCCGGCCCGGGCGCCGGCTCGGGCGTCTGGCCCGGGCGCCGGCTCGGGCGCCGGCCTGGGCGTCGGAATCGGCCCGGGAGGCCTCCCGGGCGCCGGAAGAAGAAGTTCAGCATTTTCAAAAGAAAAATGTGTATTAGAATAGCTTTTTTTCGGCGCCGCCTCGGAACTCGATTTTCCGGCGCCGGCCGGAACCGGCTCCGGACCCCAGCCCGGGCGCCGGCCCGGGCGCCGGCTCGGGCGTGCAGCCCGGGCGCCGGCGGAAATGATGCCAGCGCGCTGCAGCGAAAGCACGATTCGTCACGAGCGGGGCTCGAAAATGAGGCCGGCGCCTCTGCGAGAGCAGCATATATTTTGGAACAAAAATGCAGGCGAAAACCCAACTCCGGGGAAACCTGTGTGTAAAAAACAGTACGCGGGGGGGGGGGCGACTATTCCCAAGACGTCAGGGGAAGAGGGGGAGTAGTATTCATATTGAGTAATTGTGGAGGAGGAGGAGGAGCATGAGGAGGACGGAGGCTGGAGGAGGAGTAGGAAAAGGCGGAGGAGGAGGACGAGGAGGAGGAGGAGGAGGAGGAGGAGGAGGAGGAGGAAGAGGAGGGCGGAGGAGAAGTCTCCCTTCCACGTTGTTGCGCGCGCAGCGTGGCCCATCGTGCAGTAGTCCGCCTGCTCGGTCGGGCCGCTGCGCCAGGGTCGCTCTGCGCTAGCTCGCGATCGATTTGAAGCTCTGCCAGGACTCTCCCAGCGGTCGGGATCTGAGATAGATACCACTCCGGGCTCAGGACGGGCTCTGGTTTCCGGGCCGTTCCTTAGGTTATGTCGAGGAACCTGTTCGTGAGGCTCGCCGTGGCCTGTAAAGGTTCATTCGTTCCTTCTGTATCGTTCTTTGTGGTAGCACGATGGCTGTATCCCCACCGGTTGTTTCTTCCTTCCTAGCGCCACTGCGGACAGGTCTCCAAGGGCGAACAGGTGGCACATATTCACATGTTCTTCCACTGGGGCAGCGGCGTCCGCTCTGGCCACTGGTCCCTCGTTCAATCGGAAAGCGAGTGTGTGGCCGCAAAGGCCCTTCACGATCGCCGTTCAAAGAACACACTACGTACCAGTGTGCATCCTGGGTGACCGCACTGAGTTGTCGCAGGCGATTGTTCTCCCCCAGTCCCCAGGCTCCGTCCGAAAAGTACGGCCGCTCAAAGGGGAAAGCCTGGAATACACCCGATTGGGGCTATTCGGACGCACGCCTTTCGAGGGTGGACGCCCCCCCATCGTGTATCCTAAGGGTGGGGCTCCAAGTTCCTGGTCCATTCGAAAGCCTTCCAAAGCCTGGGGCAAGGGTCGACACGTCCCCCGTCAAGTGGTCATCCGGGGCGACCGCACTGCGTTGGGGCTGCAGGGTCGTTCTCCGGGGGTATCTCGGGCCACCGGGTCCCCCAAGGCCCCCCCCAAAGCCGTGCACCCTGCGGTGTGTCCCGAGGTCTCTGCGCGGCCTGTCGCCCTCACCGCTTCGGAGGGCCAGACGCTGCGCAAGGGCGTCACCATCGACGGCGCGAGGGACGAAGACGCTTGCCGCACGGGCTTGTCGGACGACCAGTGGTGGCAACATTCTGCGGCATGTTCTCCCGCACCACGCGCACCCGAAACGTGATGATTTTCTTTTCCCCCGGTCGGGCCCGAGCGTGCCACGGAAGTTGGGGTCGGGGCCGCACGGCGGAGGCGTCGTGGAGGCCAGCTACGAAATCGTCGCGAGCAAGCTGCTGGCGCTGCCGAAGCTCTCCCATGGGGCTGCCTCGCCAGAATCTCCGTTGCCGCCCCCCGTTCGGCGCGGAGTCCCCCTTCCCCTCTTTGTCCTGCGTCCACTCTTGTCCTGCGTCCACTCTTGGCGCGCTTCTCCTCCCTCCTCGCAGCTCCTCTATTTTTGTTTTTATTCATATTACCCCGGTTCCTCCGCTTCCGATCCATCGATGTTGTGTGCATGTGTGTTTGGTGTTTCAATGCGCACTCGGGACAGCCTTCATGAAGGGCAACGGTGCTCCTCTCTCCCTTCTTGCTGCGCGATTAACTATAATGTCTTTTTGTTCCTGGATCGTTTCGTCATCCTTGCCCGCCCTTCCCTTGCTGGCCAGTGCCGTTCCTTCTCCATTCGATCGGCCGAGGGTCCCGCATAATTATTTTCCAGGGTCGCATGTGCCTGGCATTAGATCTGAAACCTAGTACACATACGATCCGAGACCCATGTCGCCCCGAGCTGCGGAGTCACCCGCTGCCCAGGCTTCCGACTCCCGCATCCGATGTCCCTCCTATTCATCGTCACGAAATCTAAATCTGCAGCTGCGTGCGACCTTGATGGATTGATCGGTCGTGTTCGTTTGGCCTCCGACAGCGGCATGCGGTGGCTGTGTGGCCACAGGCCCTCAGAGATTTGGTGGCTGCGGTCTTGTCCGCGGAGGTGTTGGTGGGCCTCCGCGTCGGCGTGCGAATGCCCAATTTGTCTTGCTTCGAAATGCCGTTGCACTTTCGCGTTGCGCCTTCCTTCCTTCTCGCACTGCATACCTCCGCTTGCCGCCACTCCCTCTCTCCCCCATTCCCCCCTCCCCTCCCAGCCCACCACGAGTGAACCAGTCGATTCCCTGTGGTTGTATACTTGGTCCCCACGCCGCGTGATCTGGCCTGGCCGCGCGCGTTCTCCCGCGGGACTGCCTACGCCGCGCCGCCGTGCGCGTGGCCGCGACGCCAACAAGTGTCCAATGTGTCGTTCTTCCCGCTGATATAGTGGTCGGTGGCGCTGTCCTTTGGCGGGGGTCATGCAATGTCCGAGGTCGCTCAGCAATGTTTCCTGGTGGGTGAGCGTGTGCAGCTTCTTCGCTGGCTTCCTGTATGCCTCAGTTGCGTGCGTAGGCCGCCCTTGGGGCGTTCTTGGGCGCCTCTTAAAAGGCCTCTTGGGCCGTCGTGTGGCCTTCCGGGGCTCCTCATAGGGGACGTTCGGGCCATCGTTGCGCCATCTGGATGCCTCGGAAGTCCACCGGAAGCGAAAAGGCGAGAAGGCAATACTATATATATATATATATATATATATATATATATCGGTAAGTTGTTCGAGGCAGTTTGGATGTTTGGAGGCCTCCGTGGAACGCTCCATGGCCACTTGAAGCCCTCTCTGGGCGTTATGTGGGCTTCTTGGGGAGCATATTGGAAGCTGTGTTGGCTATCTTGTGCTATCTTGGAGGCATCTTGAAGCGGCTTGGGACAGTATTGGAGCCATCTCGGGCCATTTTGGACGCCCTGACCCCTCGCGGGGGGGGCATGCCACATGGAGGGGGAGGCAGGAAAAGTACCCCCCTTTGTGGAAGAACGGGTTTTGGAAGAGGGACGGGGAGGACCATTTTACCACCTGCGCCAAAGGACTAGTGGGATGCCTTATCAGTCCTTTGGATTCTCTGAGGATTCCTTGGGCTTCCCTCGAGACCCCACGGAATCCTGGCGCCCCCCCTGCGACCTCGGAGAATCGCCGGCTGGTGGGCTCGCCGAGCTCGAGACGGCCTGCCTCCTGCTGCAGAACCTGCTCTTCCTGTGCGGTTCGGTCACAGACATCGAGCGCATTTGCGACCTTCAACAAGCGTTTCTGCAGCCCTGCCGGCGCCCCCATGAGCTCCTCCCGGGCTGCCGCCCCTCGCTCGCGCAAGTCCAGCAGGCCATGTGCCTCTCACGGAGCCAGTGGGGGACGGCGGGCCAGAGCGCCGGCAAGCTGGAACGGCCTCGGCCTTCCCACCGCCCAGCTCGGACGGGCTGGGCGGGCGGCCCTCGCTCGCGCCACACCAGGCCAGCCAGCACGAGTCCGGCTCGGCCCGCGCCGCGGCCACCTGGCCTGACGAGCCCGGCGAGAGCCAGCCCCAGCGCCGCCGCCTCTGCCGCACGCAGCGCCGCGCGCGTGCCGACGCCGCGACTGCCTGCCAGACCGCCCCGCCACCGCTCCAGCCGCCGCGAGCTGCGCGGCAGTCCGCCCCCCAAGGGGAAGGGCAAGGGCAAGGGCAAGCCCGCTGCCGCGGCGGAGGGCACCGGGCGCGCCTGGCAAAGGAGAGGAGTGCTGGTACGTCAGCAACTCGCCATGGGTCCAGAGTTGTTCCTCCGTTTTCGGGTTCTCGGGGCCATCCACGGGCCCCGGGACTGTCAGAAAACGACTCGGGATGAAGGTGTCGTCCTCGGAAAAGGCCCAAGGGTCCAGCACCCGTTTCCCTCAGGGACGCAGTACACACACGAAAGCGCCTGCTGGTTCCGCCCCGAATGGCTAGGGGCGGCACGCTTCGCGGAGCAGGGGCAGCCAGAGCCGAGACCCCCACGGCCTGGAGGCCGCCACCGCCCCACGGCACACCACCAAGTCAGCGCAGGGGGCTTCGCGCTGACTCGCGCTGAGAAGCCAATCCCACAGACACCGCCGAAGGGAGCCCGCTGTCGCGATGCGTGTTCTCGCGATCCCCCCCACCTCTCCTCCTCCTCGCCGCTCATCTTCTCCTCCGCCCTTCCTCCGCTGAGAGCCCGCAGTCGCGACCACCCTGCTTCCTACGGCGCCCGGACGGCTTCCTCACAGGGGGCGCGGCGGAATGTTGGTCCCCGGGGTGCTGCTCGCGAAGCCCTGGCTGCTCCTGGCGGCGCCGCGGCCTCCTCCCCTGGCGGGTGAGTCTTCCGGGTTGCGCATACCCCGACCTTCCACCGCTCCAAATATGTAACGCACGCGTTTGAAATCTGGAGCGTGTGCCACAAAACCACTCGCAAAAACAACGCGCGCGTCTGAATTCTTGTCGCACGCGCCTTTTTTCAGCAAAATGCAACCATATTTTTGACGCGTGGCTCCAAAACGAATCGGCCCCATCACGCGTGGCGTGGTTTAACAATGAAATCACGCCAAGGCGTGATCTAGCATTGCACAGCCGTGTACGATGAGATGAGGAGGAAGTGGAGGAGGAGGAGGAGGACGTGTTGGGGAGGAGGAGGAGGAGAAGGGGGAGGAGGAGGAAAAGAGGAGGAGGAAGAGGAAGAGACTAAGGAACAGGAGAGGGAGAAGGAGGAAGAAGCGCACCCGCAGCAGTAAACAGTAATATGGACCACGCCCCCCCCCCTTGCTACTGCCATGCTGCGGGCTTGTGCTGGCTCCCTCCTCTCGCCTTCCCTCTCGCTTTCGCTTGGGCTCCTCCGCTGTGCTGCCTGAGTGCTGGCTCCTGTCTGGCTGGCTTCTCCCCTTCCCCTCGTGCTGCGGGGGGGGGCGTGGTCGGCGGGAGTTGGGTTCCGAAACCCAGGGAACCGATCGGGTGGGCTGGATGCCCAAACCCTTGGCCGTAGGTCTTCGGGTGGCTTCAGACCAGCTTCGAAGATTCGTCCCGAGAAGAGTTAGAAGTACTAGTAGTAGTAATAGTAGTAAAAATAATGATAATGATAGAAGTAGAAGTAGAAGCAGAAGTAGAAGTAGAAGTAGAAGTAGACGTAGTGGGTTGCGGGACTGGCTAGTGCGTAGTCGTGCTCTTGGGTGGTGGGAGTGGCCTTTGAGTCCCCGCCGCCCTTGAGTTGGCTGCGTGCTCGCCACTCTCATGGCCTGTAGGCCCGCCCCGCGTGGGGCAGGCCGACCCGTGGTCGGCTGCCGTTCCGCCGCTCCCGAGGCCCCCCCCCCCAGGGCTCCACTGTACCCTGCGCTCCTGCTAACTTTTTCGGGTAACCCTCGGGAGCGTGAGCACCCTAAACGGATGAAATCTTGCTACAAGTGCCGAGGCCCAGAGCACGCATCGCGAAGGTGATATTGACGTGGCGCTCGAATGGGGAAGGACAGGACAGGGTCTCCTCCTCCCTTCTCAGTGTCCTCATCTATTTCCTCTTCAGCATCCTCCTCCCGCTGCTCTCAGAAAGTCTTCCTCCACCTCCTCTTCACCTCCTCCCTTACATGTTTGTTAACGGGTTTTCTTAGTGCGCGTGTAGATAGGGCCGTGAACATCCCAAAATCGAGCGTCAAATTTTTTAAAAATATTGACGCCTGTTTTTGGCCTAGAATCCCCTCGGGCCTTAAAAGATCCGTCTTCCACCTTCCTCCCGCCTCCCCCCAACTCCCCCTTCTCTTGTGCACCTCCTCCGCCCCCTCCTGATCTTCCCCCTCCTCCCATCCTAGGACTCCTTGGTTGGAACCCCCATGGAGCGCAACCCCGCGCGTGTCCGACCCTGCCCCATCGAGTCTCACGCCAAAGGATCCTACCCACTTTGTTTTTGTTGAGGAGGAAACCCGACAATGCCAGTTGCATAGGAATAAGTCCTAACGAGACGCCGTTCAGTTTGGACGTTTCGAATCGCATCAGTAGCCATCTGGTTCGAGCATCCGCCGAGGTTTCCCACATATGCCCAAGGCAGTCGCGATCCACCTTGATGAAGACACGCTGATTGCGAGCTTGGCGGAGCTCCCGCCGACGGCGCTCAAGAAAGGCTTCGTCGAGTACCCATCGGCCAACTTCAAGCTCGCGCCGCGTTGGGAGTCGATGAAGCCCTACCAGGACTTCCTCAAGGCGATCCTGATCGCCACGGATGGCCGCCCTCGCATTCTACACAGTTCGTTCTTCAAGGGCGTATTGGCATGGTCTAAGAAGGAGGGCCTCGAGACCAGCGACGACGTCCTGGAACGCGGGTGTTACCTGCTGAGGGCTATGTTGAGTCAGATGGCAAACCACAAATCGAAGGGCCGTGGGGTGCCTGTTCGTTTCAGGAGGTACTTCCAGCCTTTGTTCAACAT